CTGTTTTCCTTTTTCCCCTTTGTGCAAAAAAGGGGGTTTTAGTCCTTGGGCCCCGCCCTTCCGTAAAGGGGGAGGGTTTCCCGGGCCCCTTTCCAAAAAGCTAGGCTCTCTGTTTCGGGTGATTTATCTTGGGCCCCCCCCCCCAATTTTTACAGGGTTTGGTGCTTGGCCCCCCCCAAGCCCCTTCTTTCTCTTTTTTTGGGGCCCGGGTTTAATTTAGTCTTGTTCCGCCCCCCCCTGTACGGGGGGAGCTTGGGTGGGGCCCCTTCCCCCTCTCGGGGTCTCTTTGTGCGGGGGTTTTATCTTGCCCCGCCCTACTTCAGGGGGGGGCTTGCTGGGCCCCTCCCACAGCCGCTCTCTCTCCTTTGGGGGGCTGATCATTTTCCCCCCTCCCCCCCCCCTTTTAGTTCCAGCAGGGGAGCCGTAGTGGGTGGGGCTAAATGCCCAATTTTTTCAAAGTTAAAATTTGGGAAAAAGGTTTGGGTTATTATCCGGAGTGGTTTTCCGAGCCCAAATCCGGCAAAAAAAAAAATTTTCCACAAAAATGCCCGCTTTTTTTCTAGGAGTGAGCAGAAAAACCCGATCCTCCGATCCCCGGAAAAAACCCGGGGCATTTCCCCCCAGGTTTTTAAAGGGTGGGGGGTTTTTTCCGGGCTTTTTGGAAAACCTCTCTGGGCTTGGGGTGGGGCCCCAGGCCCCTGTCCAATTTTTATGGGGGGGCGGGGGGCGGGGGGATTTAGAGGGTCAGGGGGAAAACGTTTCTTCCTCTCCTCCCCCCCCCCCCCGGGCACAGCAAAAAAAACCTGGCGTGTGATCCCCCGCCCCCCCCCCCCCCCGCTTTTGGGGGGAAAAGCCCCGGTTCAGCTTACAACTGCCCCCCAGGGTTTTCCTTGGAGGATGATTGCGTTCAGTGCGGGGGGTTCCCCCTTGGGGGGCTCTTCATATCCCCAATCGAACCAGGGCCCCAGCTGGTCGCATTTTGCGCATGAAGACATGTTTGGGCCCTCAGAAAAAAGGGGACCTCCCCCGACGGGAAACCAAACCACAAAAAGATGAGGGAAACCGCCTTCCCCACGTCTCCCCCCCTGCCCCAAAAAACCCAAAAAAAAAATTGGGGGAAAAATTTTTATTCAAGGCACAAGTCCCGGGAAAACAAAATTTTTAGCTTTTAATCAGCTGATGGGTTGTGGGGCCCCAATTTTTACAAAGAAAAAAGTTCAAAAACAAACCCAAACCCCTGTGTACAGGAACAGCGATCTTCGGTTTTTTTCTCCCCGCCAAAAAAAAAAGGGAAAAAACCCGGCAATCTCTCGGTAAAAGCAGCACACAATCCACAGGGAAAAAGTTTACCCTACGAAAGCCCAAAAAAGGGTTTAAACCCCCCCCAACCAATTTTAGTGGAAAAGTAAACCCTCACGGGAATCGTGTGTCCCGTGTCAGCTAAACACCCAAATTAAACCCCCCCACACCCGTCCCCTACAAGTCACTGAAACCCCATTACCAGAAAATAATAAAATAGGAATAAAAATAATGATTATATTTTAAATTTTTCTCCAAATAAACTGAAACGGGGGGGCCCCCGGGGGGGGAAAAAAAGGAAAAATTTTCCGGTTTTCGGGGGACCGGCCCCGGGGAAAAGTTTTTTTTGCGCTGTGCGGGTTTTGCCCCTTTCCTCCAAAAAAAAGTTTTCCCCAAAACCCCCACAAGGTTTTGGGGGCCTTTAAAACTCCCGGCCCCGCCTCCTCCCCTCGGTTTCCTTTTTAGGACAGGAAAGGCCAGCCAGGTTGAGGGGTTTCCCTCATTTTCCGTCTATTGGGGAAGTCCCCCCCAAATCCCCGGGGGCCGGGAAAAAGCCAGCAACCCGGATCCCCAGGGCCCCCCCCTTTTATACTCAGAAAAAGGAAAGGGCCAAAACCATGCATGGAGGGGGGAAGGGGGGGGCTATACTACAGAAAGGGGGATATGGAGGGGGGGTTAGGGCCCTCCTTGGGGTGGAGGGGAAAGGGGACTATACTACAGATGTGGATATGGAGGGGATGAACAGACCATGGATGAGGGGAAGGGGACTATACTACAGATAGGAGGATATGAGGGGATAGGGACCAATACATGGATGGGAGAGACTGGGGGACTAACTACAGTGATGGAGGATATGGAGGATGAGACCATACCATGGATGGAGAGGAAGGGGACTATACACAGATGGAAGAAATGGAAAAATGAAAGTGAAACTAATAACTAACAAAGATGGGGGATATGGAGGATGAGGACTATACTAAAGCTGGGGGGGGGGGGAATGAGGACTATACTACAGCCTGGGGGGGGGGAGGATGAGACTATACTACAGCTGGGGAGGGGGGGGGAGGAATGAGGACTATACTACAGCTGGGGGGGGGGGGGACGGATGAGACTATCTACAGATGGGGGGGGGATGAGACTATACTACACTGTGGGGGAAGGGTGAGGACTATACTTTCAGCTGGGGGGGGGGGGGGGGTGGGGCAAAAGGTTGGGGGGGATAGGGGTTTTACAAGGGGGGGGGTGGGGTTTAGGAATAAAAACTACCCGTGGGGGGGGGGGGAGGGGAAAGAGGGGAATATTTTTACAGCTGGGGGGGGGGGGGGGGGGGAGGATGAGGACCCATACTACAGCTTGGGGGGGGGGGGGGGGGGGGGGGGGGGGGGGGGGGGGGGGGGGGGGGGGGGGGGGGGGGGGGAGGGGGACTATACTACAGATTGGGGGGGATGAGGACAATAACTACCGCGGGGTGGGGGGGGAGATGAGTGACTATACTACAGCTGGGGGGGGTGGGGGGGGAGGATGAGGACGATACTACCTATGGGGGGATGAGGAGGATTATACTACAGCTGGGGGGGAGGATGAGGACATATACTACAGCTGGGGGGGGGGTGAGAGGATGAGGACTAAACACAGATGGGGGGATTGAGGACTATACTACAGATGGGGGGGGTGACCTCGGCAGGTGACACCAGACCTGGAAGGGTGGAAGTTGGCTCTTGATCAGTTGTGAGGCCGCAAATGAAGACGTATTTTTGACCGATGTTGACCGGGATTGTACGGGTTGGCGTATGTCTCGTATGAACCTGGAAATGAAGAAAGTCATCGTCCATGGTGGTACAATGAGTGTCACAGGCCTCTTCCCCAGATCGGGTTGTATGACAGGCGAAAGGCAATGACACCATGAAGTTCAAGAGCCAGCGATCACCACAGAGAAGTTATGGTGACTGTTTCTTGGGGGATGACAGGGGCGTCATTCTTCTGGATTGTGGATTTTCTGGTGACGTGGCCGTACCGTGACCAGCGAGCTGAACATTGAGAAGCCATTAGGAGGAAGAGACTGAAGAAGAGTCTGAACACCATTCCCATCCACCATGATGCTTGACACACATCATCATACAAGATGATTGGCAAATTCAGCAGTCAGTGGACCACCATCCCCCATACAAGCCAGTTTAGCGCCTCTAACTCTCACTTATTGGGTCCAATGAAGGTCAGTCTTCAGGGACAAGTTGAGGGACACAGTGGCTGTGAAGAATTGGGTACAACAATGCGCCCCCGTGAATGTTTCCAGAGGATTGAGAGAGTTGAGTTCAATGATGGAATAAACGTACCGCTTGTGATGGAGGGACTGCAGAGTGCAGAGGAAGAGGACAGGAAGGACTTGTGTAAGAAAGATGTCCATATCCCTTGTATTACTGTCAGTACAGCCCGTGTGTATGTATGCCCCAAGTATTGTCCCCGCCCCCCTCCAATCATGTGGATTCAGGAGTCCCAATCCACCCTCCAATTCATGTGATTCTCAGGTGTTCCAATCCCCTCCATATCATGTGATTCAGGTAATCCAATCCCTCCATATCATGTGATTCACGTGTTCCAATCCCCCCCATATCATGTGATTCACGTGTTCCAATCCCCCCCATATCATGTGATTCACGTGTTCCAATCCCCCCCCCATAATCATGTGATTCACGGTGTTCCATCCCCCCCATATCATGTGATTCACGTGTTCCAATCCCCCCCCATATCATGTGATTCACGTGTTCCAACCCCCCCCCATATCATGTGATTCAGGTGTTCCAATCCCCTCCATTATCATGTGATTCTAGGTGTTTCCAATATCCCCTCCATATCATGTGATTCAGGTGTTCCAACCCCTCCATATCATGTGATTCAGGTGTTGCAATCCCCTCCATATCATGTGATTCAGGTGTTCCAATCCCCTCCATGTCATGTGATGCAGCTGTTCCAATCCCCTCCATATCATGTGATTCAGGTGATCCAATACCCTCCATATCATGTGATTCAGGTGATCCAATCCCCTCCATATCATGTGATCCAGGTGTTCCAATCCCCTCCATATCATGTGATTCAGGTGTTCCAATCCCCTCCCAATCATGTGATTCAGGTGTTCCAATCCCCTCCCAATCATGTGATTCAGGTGTTCCAATCCCCTCCCAATCATGTGATTCAGGTGTTCCAATCCCCTCCCAATCATGTGATTTCAGAGTTTCCAATCCCCTCCCAATCATGTGATTCAGGTGTTCCAATCCCCTCCCAATCATGTGATTCAGGTGTTCCAATCCCCTCCCAATCATGTGATTCAGGTGTTCCAATCCCCTCCCAATCATGTGAATTCCGGTGTGTCCCAATCCCCCCCATATCATGTGATTCAGGTGTTCCAATCCCCTCCATGGACACAGGTGATATACAATCAAGCCCCTAGACATGCAGACGGCTTTCTACAAACATTGGTGAAAGAATGGGTCGCTCTCAGGAGCTCAGTGGCTCCAAGCGTGGTCCCGTGATAGTGGCCACCTGGGCAATAAGTCCATCACCGTGACATTTCCTGGCTACTAAATATTCCACGCTCAACTGTTAGTGGGATTATAACAAAGTGGAAGCCACTGGGAACAACAGTCACTCAGCCACCAAGTGGTAGGCCACGTCACATGACAGGGCGTGGGGTCAGCGCATGCTGAAGCGCACAGTGCGCAGAAGCACCACCAACTGTCTGCAGAGTCAATAGCTAAAGACCTCCAAACTTGGTGTGGCCTTCAGATGTAGCCCAACAACAGTGCGTAGAGAGCTTCATGGAATGGGTTTCCATGGCCGAGCAGCTGCATCCAAGCCTTCCATCACCAAGTGCAATGCAAAGCGTTGGATGCCGTGGTGTAAAGCACGCCACCACTGGACTCTAGAGCAGGGGAGGCGTGTTCTCTGGAGGGACCAATCACGCTTCTCTGTCTGGCAATCCGATGGACGTGTCTGGGTTGGCGGTGGCCAGGAGAACGGTACTTGCCTGACTGCATTGTGCCAAGTGTAGAGTTTGGTGGGGGGGGGGGGGATTATGGTGTGGGATTGTTTTTCAGAGGTTGGGCTTGGCCCCCTAGTTCCAGTGAAGGGATCTCTTAAGGTGACATTTTGGACAATTTCATGCCCCCAACTTTGTGGGAAGCGTTTGGGGATGGCCCCTTCCTGTTCCAACATGACTGCCCCCCAGTGCACAAAGCAAGGTCCATAAAGACATGGAGGAGCCAGTTTGGGGTGGAGGAACTTGACTGTCCTGCACAGAGTCCTGACCTCAACCCCATAGAACACCTTTGGGGGGTGAATTAGAGTGGAGACTGCGAGCCAGGCCTCCTCCCCGACATCAGTGCCTGACCTGACAAATGTGCTTCTGGAAGAATGGTCCAACCTTCCCATAGACACCCTCCTAAACCTTGTGGACGGCCTTCCAGAAGAGTTGAAGCTGTTATAGCTGCAAATGGGGCGGGGCCAACTCAATATTGAACCCTACGGACTAAGACTGGGGGGACATTAAAGGTCATGTGTGTGGAAAAGGGCGGGGCCAACTCATATTGAACCCTTACGGACTAAGATGGGGGGCCATTAAAGGTCATGTGCGTGGAAAGGGCGGGGCCAACTCAATATTGAACCCTACGGACTAAGACTGGGGGGCCACCTTAAAGGTCATGTGGGTGGAAAGGGCGGGGCCAACTCAATATTGAACCCTACGGACTAAGACTGGGGGGCCATTAAAGGTCATGTGCGTGGAAAGGGCGGGGGCAACTCAATATTGAACCCTACGGACATAAAGACTGGGGGGCCATGTGTGTGGAAAGGCCGGCAGACCAATACTTGGGGCAATATAGTGTATATATGGGGGGGGCGCGGGGGGGCAAATACTTGGGGCAATATAGTGTATATATGGGGGGGGGCCGGGGGCAATACTTGGGGCAATATAGTGTATATATGGGGGGGCGGGGGAAATACTTGGGGCAATATAGTGTATATATGGGGGGGCGGGGGCAATACTTGGGGCAATATAGTGTATATATGGATTAAATCGGGGGGCGGGGGCAATACAGTGTATATATGGGGAGGCGGGGGCAATACTTGGGCAATATAGTGTATATATGGGGGGGCGGGGGCAATACTTGGGCAATATGGTGTATATATGGGGGGGGGGCGGGGGCAATACTTGGGGCAATATAGTGTATATATGGGGGGGCAATACTTGGGGCAATATAGTGTATTATATGGGGGGGGGGCGTGGGGGCAATACTTGGGGCAATATAGTGTATATATGGGGGGGGGGCGGGGGCAATATGGTGTATGTATAATGAATACATGTTATATACACACACACGTCACATAGATGTGTCGAGCTCATTGTATGGGTTCTTTTAGTTCCCTCTCAGACCCGTCCAGTCCGCGGGTGTCAATGTAGTCCATAAATATGAACTGGGCTGCCAATGCACCTTCATGACTCCAGAGCGGATGTGCTGCCTATATAACGATTGGCTGCACATTGAGACCCATTCTGAATGAACCACTGCGCCAATCACCACATGCTTTGCCACACATGGGCCTCGGGGGTGTTTTCCCTCCACGTGTTGGTGACAGGGTCTCTTTACCCTCCCACTCTCTGTAATATATATTTATACCTATTAGAACATTCAAAGGTGTTTGCAGCTTTCAATTAAAACCTTCCCAGCTGTGCCTCCCTGCAGATAAGAGGCTCCCGGGGAGCGAGGCGGCTCAGGATCTGCTATCTCCATGTCAGGCCTCAATCTCACGGAGCTGAACTTCATCGGCAAAAATCACCGCAAATTAAGCTGAAAATTAGTGACCTTTAAAATAACAATCCCAACCAGCTCTGCTCTTCCCCTCACTGGAGAATCCGTTCCTCCATTCTGTCTGACCCCAACCTCCAGAAACCAGAAGAATCCGTTCTCTGTGACCCCAACCTCCAGAAACCAGAAGAATCCGTTCTGTCTGACCCCAACCTCCAGAAACCAGAAGAATCCGTTCTGTCTGACCCCAACCTCCAGCAACCAGAAGAATCCGTTCTCTCTGACCCCAACCTCCAGAATCCAGAAGAATCCATTCTCTGTGACCCCAACCTCCAGAATCCAGAAGAATCCATTCTCTCTGACCCAACCTCCAGAATCCAGAAGAATCCATTCTCTCTGACCCCAACCTCCAGAATCCAGAAGAATCCATTCTCTCTGACCCCAACCTCCAGAATCCAGAAGAATCCATTCTCTCTGACCCCAAACTCCAGAATCCAGAAGAATCCATTCTCTCTGACCCCAACCTCCAGCAACCAGAATAATCCATTCTCTCTGACCCCAACCTCCAGCAACCAGAAGAATCCATTCTCTCTGACCCCAACCTCCAGAATCCAGAAGAATCCATTCTCTCTGACCCCAACCTCCAGCAACCAGAAGAATCCATTCTCTCTGACCCCAACCTCCAGCAACCAGAATAATCCATTCTGTCTGACCCCAACCTCCAGCAAGCAGAAGAATCCATTCTCTGTGACCCCAATCTCCAGAAACCAGGAGACCCCGTTGTCTCTGACCCCTATCTCCAGCAACCAGAAGACCCCGTTCTCTCTGACCCCAATCTCCAGCAACCAGAAGATCCTGTTCTCTCTGACCCCAATCTCCAGCAACCAGAAGACCCTGTTCTCTCTGACCCCAATCTCCAGACACCAGAAGACCCCGTTCTCTCTGACCCCAATTTCCAGAAACCAGAAGACCCCGTTCTCTGACCCCAATCTCCAGCAACCAGAAGACCCCGTTCTCTCTGACCCCAATCTCCAGCAACCAGAAGAATCCGTTTTCTCTGACCCCAATCTCCAGAAACCAGAAGACCCCGTTCTCTCTGACCCCAATCTCCAGCAACCAGAAGAATCCGTTTTCTCTGACCCCAATCTCCAGCAAGCAGAAGACCCCGTTCTCTCTGACCCCAATCTCCAGAAACCAGAAGACCCCGTTCTCTCTGACCCCAATCTCCAGCAAGCAGAAGACCCCGTTCTCTCTGACCCCAATCTCCAGAAACCAGAAGACCCCGTTCTCTCTGACCCCAATCTCCAGAAACCAGAAGACCCCGTTCTCTCTGACCCCAATCTCCAGCAAGCAGAAGACCCCGTTCTCTGACCCCAATCTCCAGAAACCAGAAGACCCCGTTCTCTGACCCCAATCTCCAGCAAGCAGAAGACCCCGTTCTCTGACCCCAATCTCCAGAAACCAGAAGACCCCGTTCTCTGACCCCAATCTCCAGCAAGCAGAAGACCCCGTTCTCTGACCCCAATCTCCAGCAAGCAGAAGACCCCGTTCTCTGACCCCAATCTCCAGAAACCAGAAGACCCCGTTCTCTGACCCCAATCTCCAGCAAGCAGAAGACCCCGTTCTCTGACCCCAATCTCTCCAGCAAGCAGAAGACCCCGTTCTCTGACCCCAATCTCCAGCAAGCAGAAGACCCCGTTCTCTGACCCCAATCTCCAGCAAGCAGAAGACCCCGTTCTCTATGACCCGAAATCAATATAAACTCATCTATCCTCACAGTGTTATATTTATTCCTGAATACGCCGCGCGGTCCTCATACTGCTCACATCTACAGTCTGATTTGTTGACTGTGTGTGAAATGAAAAAAAACGACTTCCGGGATCTCAGCGAACTCACATTCCTGGACTCCCATTGAAGTTTCTATTGATCAGGCTTTGCACATGCTGCCCCCTGGTGTTCAGTCACGTCACTGCAGCCCCCCCACAGAAGAGAAGATTCGATCAGTAACATGGATTTGCCGTCATCGATCTCCTGCATCACCCATTGGATGCGTTTGCTCTCCCAGCCCTCCTCTCACTTTACAGACTATGCCGGCCTCACATTCGATTTCACTGAACGATTCCCGCCAACTGCAAACTCCAAACGAGGGTTGTTTACATTAGCGTTTTGGGGGGGGGGGGCGTAAAAACGCAGCTGAGCTGCACTTTTACTGCTCCCAGCACAGGTGGTGGTCGAGGTGTAAACACACTACGGATGCGATGCTCTGCAGCTGAAACTAGACCCCGTCAGGTCCAGTGGGCACTAGCAGCCACCAAGTGAACGGGGCCGCTCTGCAACCACCTGCACTGCAAGGAGTAGTGCAGCACGGGGGGAAGGGGGGGCAAAACAGGGGGCAAGGAGGCAACAAACCACCTCCTCACTCCCTGCCAAGTGCCTCTGAAAAGTGATCAGAGCACAGATGGTTTTACAGAGGAGTGGCAGTCCTTGTGTACATGAGCCCTGAGCTCACCCCAAAGGCAGTTCATGTCAGGAGTCCCGGAATGGTGACTCCACCATAGTGATGGTCCTGCCTTGCATGTTGTCCCGGAGTTGTGACTCCACCATAGTGATGCTCCTGCCTTGCACGTTGTCCCGGAGTCGTGACTCCACCATAGTGATGCTCCTGCCTTGCACGTTGTCCCGGAGTCGTGACTCCACCATAGTGATGCTCCTGCCTTGCACGTTGTCCCGGAGTCGTGACTCCACCATAGTGATGCTCCTGCCTTGCACGTTGTCCCGGAGTCGTGACTCCACCATAGTGATGCTCCTGCCTTGCACGTTGTCCCGGAATCGTGACTCCACCATAGTGATGCTCCTGCCTTGCACGTTGTCCCGGAATGGTGACTCCACCATAGTGATGGTCCTGCCTTGCACGTTGTCCCGGAATCGTGACTCCACCATAGTGATAGTCCTGCCTTGCACGTTGTCCAGGGAGTTGTGACTCCACCATAGTGATGGTCCTGCCTTGCACGTTGTCCCGGAGTTGTGACTCCACCATAGTGATGGTCCTGCCTTGCACGTTGTCCCGGAGTCGTGACTCCACCATAGTGATGGTCCTGCCTTGCACGTTGTCCCGGAGTCGTGACTCCACCATAGTGATGGTCCTGCCTTGCACGTTGTCCCGGAATCGTGACTCCACCATAGTGATGCTCCTGCCTTGCACGTTGTCCCGGAGTCATGACTCCACCATAGTGGAGATCGCAGAGCGTGGGGATCGTCCCCCTCCCGGGGATCGCAGAGCGCGGGATCGTCCCCCTCCCGGGGATCGCAGAGCGCGGGATCGGCCCCCTCCCAGGGATCCCAGAGCGCGGGATCGGCCCCCTCCCGGGGATCCCAGAGCGCGGGATCGGCCCCCTCTTGGGGATCCCAGAGCGCGGGATCGTCCCCCTCCCGGGGATCGTCCCCCTCCCGGGGATCGTCCCCCTCCCGGGGATCGCAGAGCGCGGGATCGTCCCCCTCCCGGGGATCGCAGAGCGCGGGATCGGCCCCCTCCCGGGGATCGCAGAGCGCGGGATCGGCCCCCTCCCGGGGATCCCAGAGCGCGGGATCGGCCCCCTCTTGGGGATCGCAGAGCGCGGGATCGTCCCCCTCCCGGGGATCGTCCCCCTCCCGGGGATCGTCCCCCTCCGGTGATCGTCCCCCTCCCGGGGATCGCAGAGCGCGGGATCGTCCCCCTCCCGGGGATCGCAGAGCGCGGGATCGTCCCCCTCCCGGGGATCGCAGGGCGCGGGATCGTCCCCCCTCCCGGGGATCGCAGGGCGCGGGATCGTCCCCCTCCCGGGGATCGCAGAGCGCGGGATCGTCCCCCTCCCGGGGATCGCAGGGCGGGGGATCGTCCCCCTCCCGGGATCGCAGGGCGCGGGATCGTCCCCCTCCCGGGGATCGCAGGGCGCGGGATCGTCCCCCTCCCGGGGATCACACATTCTCACCAATAATCCACAAAGAAAAAGCTGCAACACCCAAAGTTCACAAAACTCCACATTAGTGTCAGTAATATCATCATAAACCTCCACAAAGCAGGACTTCAGAATTGGGGGTGGAATGGGTCAGATTTGGCTTTTTGTTTCTCCACTTTTTTTTGTGTCACCGATACAAACACAAGAAAACACGAGAATGCCGGAACATTTGTCATTGCTGTGTTATCTGACAGAAATGCGTGGGGTGGGGGGGGGGGGGGGGGGGGCGCATGCGTGTATCTATAGCTCTCTCCATATGTGAAAACCGTGTGTACTCGTGGCGCTCCACCCTACATGTTACATCAAAGTGTCCTCAACAAAGGTTAGTGACTCAGGTTCCTTGATGAAGTCACTTTGACGTAACGCGTAGGGTGGAGCACCACAAGACACATCAAAGCTACAACCCGATCCGCCCGAGAGATTGAGCGGTCAGCCAGACCAGGTAGTGAGCGGCGAGCTGCATCCTGCTGTGTAACGCTGATGCCGATTGTATCTTTGGGGGGGGCGCTGTTTTAGGTTTAAAGTGAAGTAAACTACAGATAAAAAATAAAATAAACAAATCCCCGGCAAGGTGATGGAATAATGTGTTCGTACGCATCGCATGAGAGACTTGCCCTAAAACGAAGCCCCACCCCCCCCCCGCCGCACGCTGTCACCGCTGCAAAGGCTTCAATGGCCATCCGGTCTTACTTCCAGGTTCACGAGCTCCAGTCGCCTGACTGCCCGAGACGCCGAGACGCGATGACGTCACTCCCGAATGTGCGCACAGGAGTCTCAGGACACGTGCTCTGAAGACACAACATGGGTACGCCGTTCCTGCAGAGCGCATGCGCCGGCTTTTATAAAAAAAAGCGAATGTCTCCTAAGCGTTGCATGTCGGCGATATTCATGTTACCTTCAGCTCAGATTTATTCCAGGAATTCCTGAAGGAAAACGCACAAAACTGACTCCTTCCCGTCAACCGCTTAAGGACCGCCCTGTAGTAGATACAAAGTATACCTCCTATAGGGCGGTCCTTAAGTGGACGTAAAGCCACTTTTGCGCACGTGCTCTGCTCTACCCAGCAATGCCAAATCACCTCTATACACCTGATTTTTTTGCGCACAGGTGCCGCCCTGTAGCCGTATATCTGCTATAGGGCGGTCCTTAAGAGGTTCAAGTGGAAGTAAAGCCACTTTAGAGTGCGCACCCTACCCACGTCACCATTGGCAGCCACAGATGTCAATCACTGGGTCCCCGCCGGCGCCCAGCGATTGCCAACAATCCCCGACGGGGGAGGAGGGATGCTTTGTTTACAGTCTTCCTCCCTGTTGGCTCAGGAACACTGCACAGCACAGTCATCCTGATCAGTGTGATTACAGTGAAGCACACAAACCCCGCCACCTAGTAAAAACACTCCCAGCACACAGTTAACCCTTTGATCGCCCCCACATTAACCCCTTCCTGCCCAGTGCCATTAGTACAGTGTCAGTACTTTTTTTTTTTTTTTTTTAGCACTAATCACTGTATTGGTGTCACTGGGGATGTCAGTGACACCAAGTCAATCCCCCCCCCCCCAGTGTCAGAATGCCCGCCGCAGTCCCGCTATAAGTCGCTGATCGCCGCCATTACTAGTAGAAAAATAAAAACAAAAAAATCCCCGTATCTATCCCGCCATTTGTAGACGCCATAACTTTCACAGAACCCAATTCATTTACACCGGTCGGGATTTTGTTTCAGCGAAGACGCGGAGCGGGAGACATTTTGGCCGAAATTTATCACGAAATTAGATTTGTTAAACTTTTTTTACTGGACGTTTAATAGCAAAAAGTAAAATTGTCGGCCTCTTTGTTAGCTTATAGAGCAAAAAAATAAAAATGCTCAGAGGATCAAATACCACCGAAAGGAAGCAGTTCGAGGGAAAAAAAGGACGGAAATTTAATTTGGGTGCAGCGTTACACGACCGCGCAATTGTCAGTTCAAGTAACGCAGCGCCGTAACACAAAACAATGGCCTGGTCAGGAAGGGGGGAGGGGGAAACCCACTAGAGGGGGGGGAATCCTCTAGAGGGGGAATGTGGGGGGGAAACCCACTAGAGGGGGAGGAATCCTCTAGAGGGGAGGGGGGGGGGGGGGTGATCCTCTAGAGAGAAAGGGGGGGGGGATCCTCTAGAGGGGGAGGGGGGATCCTCTAGAGGGGAGGGGGAGGGGGGGGATCCTCTGGAGGGCGGATCCTCTAGAGGGGGAATGGGGGGGGGGTCCTCTAGAGGGGGAATGGGGGGGGGGGAATCCTCTAGAGGGGGGAGGGGGGATCCTCTAGAGGGGAGTAAGGGGGGCGGGGGATCCTCTAGAGGGAATGTGAGGGGGGAGATCTTCTAGAGGGGGAATGGGGGGGGATCCTCTAGAGGGGGAATGGGGGGATCCTCTGGAGGGGGAATGGGGGGGGGGATCCTCTAGAGGGAATGTGAGGGGGGAGATCTTCTAGAGGGGGAATGGGGGGGGATCCTCTAGAGGGGGAATGGGGGGATCCTCTGGAGGGGGAATGGGGGGGGGGGGATCCTCTGGAGGGGGAGTGGGGAATCCTCTAGAGGGGGAGGGACCTCTAGAGGAGGAGTGGGGGGGGGGAATCCTCTAGAGAGGGAGTGCGAGGGGGATCCTCTAGAGAGGATGGAGTGGTGGGGGGGGGATCCTCTAGAGGGGGAGGGGTTAATAGAAGGAACACATTCAATACACAGAGGGCACTCTTTAGTCCTCCCTCTATGGTCTGATGTTTGTGGAGGATTTGTACAATGTATGAAGGACGCAGAGTCCCGCACACACCTCACCCCCGCCGCGCACCTCACCCCGCCGCGCACCTCACCACGCCGCGCACCTCACCCCGCCGCGCACCTCACCCCGCCGGGCACCTCACCCCGCCGCGCACCTCACCACGCCGCGCACACCTCACCACGCCGCGCACCTCACCACGCCGCGCACCTCACCACGCCGCGCACCTCACCCCGCCGCGCACCTCACCCCGCCGCGCACCTCACCACGCCGCGCACCTCACCCCGCCGCGCACCTCACCCCGCCGCGCACCTCACCCCGCCGCGCACCTCACCCCCCGCCGCGCACCTCACCCCGGCCCGGAAAGGGAAGAGACATAAAATGACCATTTCTCATCCCGTATATATGGAGCACATTTTGTGGAGATTGATGTCACATTCGGAGTGTAGACACGAATTGTACGACGTTTTCTCGGCACATTGGTTGTTGGTTCTCCATACACGCATGTCGCCGGGGTCACCATCTGTATGGAGATGCCCTTTAAATGACGTGAATAATTCATGAATCTACCTTTGAGTGCCGGCAGCTTCTGCAGTTCCCGGTTATTGCTGACGTTGAATCTGGAGGAACTCTGCCGCTTCTCCTTCTTCACCACCGTCTGTGGGGTAGGTACCTTAATCTTCGATACCTGAGCTGGAGGGGGAGTGTTGTTCGCCTTCTTGTTGGACACCTGCAGGAGACATCATGTATTACAGGACGACTATGGAAGACCAGGAGGAAGAAAACTGCTGCAGCTTGCCTTCTAGTACTGAGATCTCTCTCTGATCTCTCCTCCCTCTGCAATCTCTGTGAAGACACCGGACAATCCTGGGAGATCCCCCCCACCCCCAGCACACAGCAGGTGATTGGCAGCCTCAGCTGTACATGTTTCCCAATGACACTGTCTAGAGGAGGGTGTGTCCATTCTCTTCATTCAGATCTCAGATTACACTCAGCTCACAGTGTGTGACATCAGATCCCCTCCTTTGCTCCATGCGCTTTGAATGGCTGTAAATAAACCCCCAACACAAACCAAAATAAAAACAAAAATGAAAAAAAAAAAAAATAAATAATAATAATAAAAATAAGGAAAGTGATGAAAAAAAAAAAACAGCAACAAATGATGAAAGATTAATTTTTCTATTGGCTATTAAAAAAACCGCCACCAAGGCTAAAAAGACAACTGGAAAAAAAAAACATGACACTCAGGTGTGAATGCAGCAGAAGCCTGCCCCCCAGCACTGACACCCCCCCATCTTCTTCCCCGCCAGCACTGATGCCCCCCCCCCCCATCGTCTGCCCCCCCCCAGCACTGATGGCCCCCCCCACCCATCCTCTGCCTTGCCAGCACTGATGGCCCCCCCCCCCCATCCTCTGCCCCGCCCTATGCAATGATGGCCGACCCCCCCCCCCCCCCCATCCTCTGCCCCCCCGCCAGCACTGATGGCCCCCTCCCCCATCCTCTGCCCCGCCAGCACTGACGCCCCCCCCCATCCTCTGCCCCGCCAGCACTGACGCCCCCCCCCATCCTCTGCCCCGCCAGCACTGACGCCCCCCCCATCCTCCTGCCCCGCCAGCACTGACGCCCCCCCCCATTCTCTGCCCCCGCCCAGCACTGATGGCCCCCCCCCCCCCCCCCCTGATGGCCGCCCCCCATCCTCTGCCCCCGCCAGCACTGATGGCCCCCTCCCCCATCCTCTGTCCCGCCAGCACTGTCGCCCCCCACCCTCTGCCCCGCCAGCACTGACGCCCCCCCCCATCCTCTGCCCCGCCAGCACTGACGCCTCCCCCCCATCCTCTGCCCCGCCAGCACTGACGCCCCCCCCATCCTCTGCCGCCCCCGCCAGCACTGATGCCCCCCCCCCCATCCTCTGCCCCGCCAGCACTGACGCCCCCCCCCATATTCTCCGCACACGCCAGCACTGGCCCCCTTCGTCCTTCGCCCCACCAGCACTGACCCCCCCCCTTCCTTCGCCCCACCAGCAGTGACACACACCCCCTCCTCCCCGTCCTCTGCCCCCCCACCAGCAGTGACCCCCCCCCCCCTTCTTCCCTCTGCCCCACCAGCAGTGATACCCCCCCCCATCCCATCCTTTGCCCAGCCAGCACTGACCCCTGTCCTCCTATCCTCACCCCCACCAGCAGTGACCCCCCCCCCTTTCCTTTGCCCAGCCAGCACTGACCTCTGTCCTCTGACATTTCTTCCTGCACCCCCCACATCAGATGGCTGGATCAGGCCTTGTTTAGAGACCCTTTAAGGGAGAGGTAAAAATGTGGCTCAGCCATGTATTGTTACTCTGCCCCAACTGCCAGTGTAACTGAGGGCACTGCTGACTACAGGCAGATATAAAAGCTCGGTATTCATCCACACATCACTGAATGCAGGTTATGGAGTTCAGACGAGGAGGACCTGAATAGGACTTCAATCAGCCGATCTGCAGCCCCTGTACAGCAGAGCTCCAAGTGGGAGGGAGAAGCAGCACATGGAGCTGGCCATGGACTATACAATCCGATTGTACCTTCCCAGGCCGGCCCCTGTACTACATAGCTGGTGGTAGATCTCATGGAGATTGTACCGTGTATGGTCAGCCTAAGAGATGACCTCATTGCTGTGCTGCCGCTCTGCTGTCCAGTCATGGGTTGGAGGCGGGTCCATGACACCCTGGGCTCAAAGAAAGTGGGTTTAGTGCCGCTGGAATTAACCAAAAGAGGACATCATAGTGGTGGAAATGTAGTATAATGAAGGGGAAAGCGGCAGATTCAAGGTGAGGATTGCAATAAATGTAGAGTTCCACTTTAACCCCTTTGTAATGTTGGCGCCTCCCAACCCGTTTGTGGGTGCGGTTTCTGATACTGGATGGGAGGCGGGGTTTCTGATCAGTGACTGTCGTGATTGGCTGTCATACCACCCTATGTACATCCCTACTTACACAGCCCTACACCCCTATTCACCCTAAACACAGGTACTGACCCCCATTACATCCCTATGATCACAGTCCCTACTACAAGTGGTACTGACAGTGGTCTGAACCAAAGTCCCTATGAGTAGTATAACTACTGGTATGCAACGTAGTATATCCCTATTACTCTATCCAAGTGGTATGTAAAGGGTCATACTACATCCCCTGGTATAATCCCTAGGTATAAAAGTGGTAAAAGTATACCAGTGGTATACCAACGTCACTACTATCACTGAAAGGTTAGTACTATGCGTAGTCTCCACCAAGTAGTATACAAGTCCTATACATAAGTAGGTATAACCCCTATAACCCTATTAAATGCCCTAAGGGGTATGACAACCTAGCTACAATATTAAGTAGTCCTTCGTGACATGAAGTCCCTATAACAGTGGTATGAAAGTAGTTATCAAGTGGTACACCCGTAGTAATCAGTTGGTATAAGTAAATCCCAGTGGTACTACACCCCTTTATCATCCAAAGTGGTATAACGTAGTATAAAGTAGTAATCCCGTAGTATAACACCCTATTTACAGTAGGTCTCCCTACTACACCCCTATTACATCCCTACTAATCCCCTTTACATCCCTACCGTAAACCCCTATTACATAGCAAGTAGTCTTAAACCCCTATTACCCGTGGTATCCCGAGGACTATAAAGAGTGGTAACCGTATTACAAATCCCTACTGTCTCAGCTAGCTATACCCGTGGATTACATCCCTATAACAGTATCTAACCCCTGGTACATCCCGTAGACCCCTATTACATCCCTACTACACAATGGTCACCCCTATGTAATACATACTACACAGCTAGTGTTTATAACCCCTATGAGTCCAACATAACTAACATGCTACTACACCCCTTAGATCTATACAATCTCCTATACATCCCCTATTACATCCCTGGTACTACAGACGTAACCAATTACATCCCTACTACACCACTATGACATCCCTATACTACACCCCTGTACATACACATGACTACACCGTATTACTCTAGCCCGATACTACAACACATAACTAAACCCCTAGTGGTTACATCCTACTAATATGGAGTAATTACACCTCCTACTACACAGATATCTTAAAATATATGAGTATTAAGTATTCTACATTACAATACTACACCTATTACATACCTATAAATTTATCTATTACAGTAGTACTAACCGCTATTACAACCCTACTACACAGTACACCCCGTTACACCGATCCTACTTACATCCCTACTACACAGTACTACACCTGGTATTACATACCTAAAAGTGGTATACTAACCCCTATTACATCCCTACTGTACACCAACTATTACATACCTACTACACCAACTATTAACTATAATACTGGACTACCCACTACATCCCTATACACAGCTACTAGTCTACACCCCTATTACATCCCTACTACACCCCTATTACATCCCTACTACAGTATCTACTACACCCACTTATTAGTCCCTACTACACAGCTACTACACCCCTATTAAATCCCTACTAACACATGAAATTAATAATCCCTATACACCCCTATTACATCCCTACTACACCCTACTACGTCATCCTACTACACAGTCGTATACACCCCTAATAACATCCCTATAACCTATTACATTTAAACCTTTTAAAATAATAAATATAACATTTATTACATTACAATACTACAGCTACTAACCCCTATAATATACTAAATACAACCCTATTAATCCTATACATTAACTACACCCCTATTACAAAATTAATAATAAACAAATAAACCCCTATTACATAAACTACACCCTATTAACATAAAAACTAAAAATCTATTAATCCTTTACTAACCCCTATAAAAATCCCTACGTAAAAATTACATTACTAAAAAAAATCCTATACACAGCTAAAACAAAAAATTACATCCCTAAAATACACAAAACTAACCCCTATACAAAAACACATATACTAACCCCAAATAAATAAACTACACCCTGCCTATTACATCCCTACTACACCCCTAAAACATAAATACTACAACACTATTAATTATACTAACCACTATTACATATAAAATTACTACACCGCTACTACACCCCTAAAATCCCAATTACATACCACTATACCACCCCCTAATACAACCCCTAATTAAAATACCTTCTACAACCACTATTTACACCCTACTCCAAAAAGTCTAATACTACCAAAATTACATCCCTACTAAACCATTACACCCCTATATACACATAAACCCCTATTACATCCCTACTATCACCACTAATACACACCTACTTACATAAACTATTAACACCCTACTACAAACCCTATATTACATCCCTACTACACCATTACACCCCTATTAACAGCTATACACCCCTATTAACATCCCTACTACACCACTATTACATACCTACTAAAACCTACTAAAAACTTACTACACTAACTATTACAAACCTACTAAAAAAATATTACATACCTACTACACCACTATTACACACCTACTACAAACTATTACATACCTACTACACCCAAATTACATACCTACTACACCATTTTATTACATACCTACTACACCACTATTACATACCTACTACATACCCATTACACAGCTACTACACCACTATTACATCCCTACTACACCACTATTACATCCCTACTACACCGCTACTACACCCCTATTACATACCTACTACACCCCTATTACATCCCTACTACACCACTATTACATACCTACTACACCCCCTATTAAATCCCTACTACACCCCTACTACACCACTATTTAATACCTACTACACCCACTATTAAATCCCTACTACACCCTATTACACCCCTACTACACCACTATTACACCCCTATTACATCCCTACTACACAGCTACTACACCCCCTATTACATCACTACTACACCACAATTACACCCCTACTACACAGCTACTACACCCCTATTACATCCCTACTACACCACTATTACACCCCTACTACACAGCTACAACACCCTACTACACAGCCACTACACCACTATTACATACCTACTACACCACTATTACATACCTACTACACCACTATTACACAACTACTACACCACTATTACACAACTACTACACCACTATTACACAGCTACTACACCCTATTACATACCTACTACACCCCTATTACATACCTACTACACCAATATTACATCCCTACTACACCCCTATTACATACCTACTACACCCCTATTACACACCTACTACACCACTATTACATACCTACTACACCCCTATTATCCCTACTACACAGCTACTACATTCCTACTACACAGCTACTACACCCCTATTACATCCCTACTACTTCACTACTACACAGCTACTACAGAGGAGTGTGCGAAGACAAGGTGGGGGGTGCGGCGACATTCAAAAAAATCGAAAGAAATTCTTTGTATGGCGATTGTGCTGAGCGGCTGACTGATCACAATGCACCAGACCGGCTGCTCAGTGTGGGACCCAGAATCCAGTGATCGGTGTTTGTAGCGGTGCAGTAATACCAGAGTAGTAGTGGCATAGTAGCGGTGTAGTAGTGTGGTATGGCAGCAGCATAGTAGCAGTGTAGTAGCGGCGTAGTAGTGGTGTAGAAGCAGCACAGTAGCGGTGCAGTAGCAGTGTAGTAGCGGCGTAGTAGTATGGCGGCAGCAGCATAGTAGCAGTGTAGTAGTGGTGTAGTAGCGGCGTAGTAGCAGCATAATAGCGGTGCAGTAGCAGTGTGTAGTAGCGGCGTAGTAGTATGGCGGTAGCAGCATAGTAGCAGTGTGTAGTAGTGGTGTAGTAGCGGCGTAGTAGCAGCATAATAGCAGTGTAGAAGCGGCGTAGAAGCAGCATAATAGCAGCGTAGAAGCGGCGTAGTAGCAGCATAATAGCAGCGTAGTAACAGCGTAGTAGTGGTGTAGTAGCAGTGTAGTAACAGCGTAGTAGTGGTGTAGTAGCAGTGTAGTAGCAGCAGAAGTAGCAGTGTAGTAACAGCGTAGTAGCAGTGTAGTAACAGCGTAGTAGCGGTGTAGTAGCAGCGTAGTAGTAGTGTAGTAGGTGTAGTAGCAGTGTAACAGCGTAGTAGTGGTGTAGTAGCAGCGTAGTAGCGGCGTAGTAGCAGCGTAGTAGCGGCGTAGTAGCAGTGTAGTAGCAGTGTAGTAGCGGCGTAGTAGCAGTGTAGTAGCGGCGTAGTAGCAGTGTAGTAGCGGCGTATAGTAGCAGTGTAGTAGCGGCGTAGTAGCAGTGTAGTAGCGGCGTAGTAGCAGTGTAGTAGCGGCGTAGTAGCAGTGTAGTAGCAGCGTAGTAACAGTGTAGTAGTGGCGTAGTAGCAGTGTAGTAGTAGTGTAGTAGCAGCGTAGTAACAGTGTAGTAGCGGCATAGTAGCAGTGTAGTAACAGTGTAGTAGCAGCGTAGTAGCGGTATAGTAGCAGTGTAGTAGCAGCGTAGTAGGGGTGTAGTAGCGGCGTAGTAGGGGTGTAGTAGCGGCGTAGTAGCAGTGTAGTAGCGGCGTAGTAACAGTGTAGTAGCAGAGTAGTAGCGGTGTAGTAGTGGTGTAGTAGCAGTGTGGTAACGGGTGTAGTAGCAGAGTAGTAGCGGTGTAGTAACAGTGTAGTAGCAGTGTAGTAGCAGTGTAGTAGCAGTGTGGTAGCAGTGTGGTAGCAGTGTGGTAGCAGTGTGGTAGCAGTGTGGTAGCAGTGGTGGTAACGGTGTGTAGTAGCAGAGTAGTAGCGGTGTAGTAGCAGTGTGGTAGCAGTGTGGTAACGGTGTAGTAGCAGAGTAGTAGCGGTGTAGTAGTGGTGTAGTAGCGGTGTAAGTAGCAGTGTGGTAACGGTGTAGTAGCAGAGTAGTAGCGGTGTAGTAACAGTGTAGTAGCGGTGTAGTAACAGTGTAGTAGCAGTGTGGTAACGGTGTAGTAACGGTGTAGTAGCAGTGTGTGGTAACGGTGTAGTAGCAGAGTAGTAGCGGTGTATAGTAACAGTGTAGTAGCAGTGTGGTAACGGTGCAGTAACGGTGTAGTAGCAGAGAAGTAGCGGTGTAGTAGTGGTGTAGTGATGTGTGTAGTAGCGGTGTAGTAGCAGGGTCGCCTTCAGCAAATTTCCAGCAGCATGGGCCACGTACGGTATATAGAAATTATCTGGGTCCAGGCTGGAACTCCGGAACTCCAGATGGTTGGAATTTCCCCTTTGAATGACATCACACGGAAGCACACCAATGACAATGACTGCAGCACCGAGATGGTAAAGTCGCCCCCTGATATCAGAGACAACCTTCTACTCACTTCATGGTCGGGATTTTCTTGTCCTTCTTTCCCGCTTTTGACGCTTTTTCCCGCCTTTGGAGGTTCCTACAACAAAAACAACAGATTTGTCAGCAAACACAACGGGAGAACTTCCAACAATCGTCACTATCGGGGTACACCTGAGATCCCCAACACAGGCCTGACACCCCAGAGGAGGACTGCGCCCTCACTAAAGATGGAGGACAGAGGCGTGCAGGTCACATGTCTGGGTGGTGGGGATGCTGCAGTGTAATGGGGGGGGCGGGTGTTAAATGTACTGGCGGGATGTGTCTGGGTGACACGGTGGGGGGTGGGAAGCATATTGGTGTCACCCATGGAAATGTACCCTGTGCTGTGGGCACCGCAAAGCGTCATACGTGCCTAGATGAACGAATGAGGGCCGTCATACCACAACCGTCCACAGACCACGACAACCAATAGGGGGCAGCACAGGAAGTTATATTACACATGGTATACACAGACCATACACCGTATACACCAATCACAGACCATACACCGTATACACCAATCACAGACCATACACCATATACACCAATCACAGACCATACACCGTATACACCAATCACAGACCATACACCGTATACACCAATCACAGACCATACACCGTCCCGGGATATACACCAATCACAGACCATACACCGTATACACCAATCACAGGTCATACACCGTCCTGGGATATACACCAATCACAGACCATACACCGTATACACCAATCACAGACCATACACCGTCCCCGGGATATACACCAATCACAGGTCATACACCGTCCCGGGATATACACCAATCACAGATCATACACCGTCCCCGGGATATACACCAATCACAGACCATACACCGTCCCGGGATATACACCAATCACAGATCATACACCGTCCCCGGATATACACCAATCACAGATCATACACCATATACACCGTCCCGGGATATACACCAATCACAGACCATACACCGTCTGGGATATACACCAATCACAGGTCATACACCGTATACACCAATCACAGATCATACACCGTCCCCGGGATATACACCAATCACAGGTCATACACCAATCACAGATCATACACCGTCCCCGGGATATACACCAATCACAGACCATACACCGTATACACCAATCACAGGTCATACACCAATCACAGATCATACACCGTCCCCGGGATATACACCATTCACAGACCATACACCGTCCCCGGGATATACACCAATCACAGATCATACACCGTCCCGGGATATACACCAATCACAGGTCATACACCGTCTGGGATATACACCAATCACAGGTCATACACCGTCCCGGGATATACACCAATCACAGGTCATACACCGTATACACCAATCACAGGTCATACACCGTCTGGGATATACACCAATCACAGATCATACACCGTCCCGGGATATACACCAATCACAGGTCATACACCGTATACACCAATCACAGATCATACACCGTCTGGGATATACACCAATCACAGATCATACACTGTCCCCGGGATATACACCAATCACAGATCATACACCGTCCCGGGATATACACCAATCACAGATCATACACTGTCCCGGGATATACACCAATCACAGGTCATACACCGTCCCGGGATATACACCAATCACAGACCATACACCGTCCCGGGATATACACCAATCACAGACCATACACCGTCTGGGATATACACCAATCACAGGTCATACACCGTCTGGGATATACACCAATCACAGGTCATACACCGTCTGGGATATACACCAATCACAGGTCATACACCGTCTGGGATATACACCAATCACAGGTCATACACCGTATACACCAATCACAGACCATACACCGTCTGGGATATACACCAATCACAGGTCATACACCGTCCCGGGATATACACCAATCACAGGTCATACACCGTCCCCGGGATATACACCAATCACAGATCATACACCGTCCCCGGGATATACACCAATCACAGATCATACACCGTCCCGGGATATACACCAATCACAGACCATACACCGTCCCAGGATATACACCAATCACAGGTCATACACCGTCTGGGATATACACCAATCACAGATCATACACCGTCCCGGGATATACACCAATCACAGACCATACACCGTCCCGGGATATACACCAATCACAGATCATACACCGTCCCGGGATATACACCAATCACAGACCATACACCGTCCCGGGATATACACCAATCACAGATCATACACCGTCCCAGGATATACACCAATCACAGGTCATACACCGTCTGGGATATACACCAATCACAGATCATACACCGTCCCGGGATATACACCAATCACAGACCATACACCGTCCCGGGATATACACCAATCACAGATCATACACCGTCCCGGGATATACACCAATCACAGATCATACACCGTCCCAGGATATACACCAATCACAGGTCATACACCGTCTGGGATATACACCAATCACAGGTCATACAACCATTGCAGTACATGTATGGAGTTCCCCATCACTTGAAGCCGAATTTGGCGCCGATTGCGATACGTTGGATATTCTTTGCTACGGCAAACACATGTAAACCTGCCCACCGCGGGCCTCTACCATTGCAGCTTAAGGGGGGGGGCATTAAAAACATGGCTCAACCATGCATTTTTAGTGCCCCCCCAACCACTACTACTCCTACCACACCTACTTTAGGCCTCCCTTAGACTAGCAGTTGGGGGAGGGGACATTACAAAAAGTGAAGTGTACCGGCTCCTCCCCTTCAGTCTGGCACAGGTGTACCGGCTCCTCCCCTTCAGTCTGGCACAGGTGTACCGTCTCCTCCCCTTCAGTCTGGCACAGGTGTACCGGCTCCTCCCCTTCAGTCTGGCACAGGTGTACGGGCTCCTCCCCTTCAGTCTGGCACAGGTGTACCGGCTCCTCCCCTTCAGTCTGGCACAGGTGTACCGGCTCCTCCCCTTCAGTCTGGCACAGGTGTACCGGCTCCTCCCCTTCAGTCTGGCACAGGTGTACCGGCTCCTCCCCTTCAGTCTGGCACAGGTGTACCGGCTCCTCCCCTTCAGTCTGGCACAGGTGTACCGGCTCCTCCCCTTCAGTCTGGCACAGGTGTACCGGCTCCTCCCCTTCAGTCTGGCACAGGTGTACCGGCTCCTCCCCTTCAGTCTGGCACAGGTGTACCGGCTCCTCCCCTTCAGTCTGGCACAGGTGTACCGGCTCCTCCCCTTCAGTCTGGCACAGGTGTACCGGCTCCTCCCCTTAAGTCTGGCACAGGTGTACCGGCTCCTCCCCTTCAGTCTGGCACAGGTGTACCGGCTCCTCCCCTTCAGTCTGGCACAGGTGTACCAGAACCCCCCCCCGGCCTGGAATGGCTTCCTCTGATGTCACCGCACACTGGGAGCTTCTCGCAATGTACATTAGAAGCTGCAGCCAATCAGATAGAGCTCCGCCTCACCCCATCCAACAGATAACAACCCACAAGGCCCCCCCCCTCCAACAACCCACCCCGCTCCCCCCCCCTCCCACTCCGACAACAACCCACCCCCCCCCCCCAACTCCGACAACAACCCACCCCCCCCCCCCCCCACTCCGACAACAACCCACCCCCCCCCCCCCCCACTCCAACAACAACCCACCCCGCCCCCCCCCCCACTCCAACAACAACCCACCCCGCCCCCCCCCCCACTCCAACAACAACCCACCCCGCCCCCCCCCACTCCAACAACAACCCACCCCGCCCCCCCCACTCCAACAACCCACCCCGCCCCCCCCCACTCCAACAACCCACCCCCCCCCCCCCACTCCGATAAGAACCCACCCCGCTCCTCCCCACCAATAAGAACCCGCCTCCCCACCAATAAGAACCCGCCTCCCCACCAATAAGAACCCGCCTCCCCTCACAAATAAGAAACCAACAAACTACCCAACCCAAACAGGCTCTAAGACTGAGATCACATGACCACTGGTCATCAGTCACCGCTCTTCGTTCCACCCATTACCTACTGGAGGGGGCAGGAGCAACCGTGGGCTGAGAGGTCAATCAAGGCAGATCCTGACAATATTGGCGGGATCCTTGCAGAGCCTGGTGCGGCTCTGGGACATCAGCTGACAGCAGACTTTGGATAACTCTGGGCCCTGTGACCCACAAGAGGAGTATGACCAGAAAACATTTACCCTCTACATGTCTCGGGGGGGCGGGGTCAGTGTCCTCCTGGACAGGAGAGGGTTACAGCTGAAGTCCGGCCAAACAGCTAAATACAAACATGTGAACCATTTCATCTACACAGCCAACTGTCTGCCATCGTCCAATACCGAGGAATCATCCCAACCAACAGACGATGGAGGAGCACCGCCACACCAATCCGCCATTCCTCCCCTCCTGTAAGCATGTTTACAGTGTTAGACATCACTCTACAATACCACATGGTCTGCCCAGGTCCCAGTGCTGGCGCTCCCAGCCTCTGTGTGAATATTTCCTTCATCCCACCATTGTATTCTTCATATTTATTGTCACAATGTGTCATTTATCAAAGAAAGGTTAAAGAGGAACTCCGGGCAAAATGTATCTTTTCCCGCAGTGGGGCCGTGCTGGTTGTGTACAGGAGGTGCAAAGAAAAGCTACACTTACCTGATCCTTAGATCCTGCGGAAAATAGCGCTCCCCCCCACGTCCAGCGGTGGACTGTTCCTGCCGTCCTCACAACCTGAGCCAGTCTATGGGCGTGATGACGTCAGGAAAAGTCCATTCAGGTACTCCCCAGGTCGGCTCCCCCTGTTCCCGCTCCCAGCAGTGACTCAGCAGCTCAGCTCCCCCTGTTCCTGCTCCCAGAAGTGAATCAGCAGCTCAGCTCCCCCTGTTCCTGCTCCCAGAAGTGACTCAGCAGCTCAGCTCCCCCTGTTCCTGCTCCCAGAAGTGACTCAGCAGCTCAGCTCCCCCTGTTCCTGCTCCCAGAAGTGACTCAGCAGCTCAGCTCCCCCTGTTCCCGCTCCCAGCAGTGACTCAGCAGCTCAGCTCCCCCTGTTCCCGCTCCCAGCAGTGACTCAGCAGCTCAGCTCCCCCTGTTCCTGCTCCAGCAGTGACTCAGCAGCTCAGCTCCCCCGTTCCTGCTCCCAGAAGTGACTCAGCAGCTCAGCTCCCCCTGTTCCCGCTCCCAGAAGTGACTCAGCAGCTCAGCTCCCCCTGTTCCTGCTCCCAGTAGTGACTCAGCAGCTCAGCTCCCCCTGTTCCTGCTCCCAGAAGTGACTCAGCAGCTCAGCTCCCCCTGTTCCATACACAGGAATATTTACTAATCCGCATTATTTACATAAAGTACAGCAAACAGGAAAGTAAAAATAAATAATTTGTAAATAAACATTAAAAATCTCCATATACAGAAGGATGGGGCTGTATACAGCGTGTACATCCTATATACCTCTATAGGGGGCTGTATACAGCGTGTACATCCTATATACCTCTATAGGGGGCTGTATACAGCGTGTACATCCTATATACCTCTATAGGGGGCTGTATACAGTGTGTACATCCTATATACCTCTATAGGGGGCTGTATACAGCGTGTACATCCTATATACCTCTATAGGGGGGGCTGTATACAGCGTGTACATCCTATATACCTCTATAGGGGGCTGTGTACAGCGTGTACATCCTATATACCTCTATAGGGGGCTGTATACAGCGTGTACATCCTATATACCTCTATAGGGGGCTGTGTACAGCGTGTACATCCTATATACCTCTATAGGGGGCTGTATACAGCGTGTACATCCTATATACCTCTATAGGGGGCTGTATACAGCGTGTACATCCTATATACCTCTATAGGGGGCTGTCAGGTATGAGAAGACAGGAAATCTCATCGGTGAGATCATTCTGGAGGTCTGCATAATGCAGAATACCTTCTGTAGGGGGCACACTGGTCAGTATATAAAGCTGGCAGTATATATGGGGGGGGGGGACAGTACAGTATATCTATATAGGGGGAAGGGCTCGTGTATATATAGGGATCAGTATATATGGAGGGTAGAGGACAATACAGTATATATAGGGGGAAGGGAGTCAGAATATATGTGGAGGAAGGGGACAGTACAGTGTATCTATATAGGGGGTTAGAATGGGGAAGGTATACGGAGGGACAGTATAGTAGATCTATATAGGGGATCGCTATACAGGGGGGGATAGAGGACAAAACAGTACATCTATAGAGGGGGGAGGGGTCAGTACTGTACATCTATAGAGGGGGGGGAGGGGTCAGTACTGTATATCTATAGAGGGGGGGGGGGGGAGGGGTCAGTACTGTATATCTATAGAGGGGGGGAGGGGTCAGTACTGTATATCTATAGAGGGGGGGAGGGGTCAGTACTGTATATCTATAGAGGGGGGGGAGGGGTCAGTACTGTATATCTATAGAGGGGGGGGAGGGGGTCAGTACTGTATATCTATAGAGGGGGGAGGGGTCAGTACTGTACATCTATAGAGGGGGGAGGGGTCAGTACTGTACATCTATAGAGGGGGGAGGGGTCAGTACTGTACATCTATAGAGGGGGGAGGGGGTCAGTACTGTACATCTATAGAGGGGGGGATGGGTCAGTACTGTACATCTATAGAGGGGGGAGGGGTCAGTACTGTACATCTATAGAGGGGGGAGGGGTCAGTACTGTACATCTATAGAGGGGGGAGGGGTCAGTACTGTATATCTATAGAGGGGGGAGGGGTCAGTACTGTATATCTATATAGAGGGGGAGGGGTCAGTACTGTATATCTATAGAGGGGGGAGGGGTCAGTACTGTATATCTATAGAGGGGGGAGGGGTCAGTACTGTATATCTATAGAGGGGGGAGGGGTCAGTACTGTATATCTATAGAGGGGGGAGGGGGTCAGTACTGTATATCTATAGAGGGGGGAGGGGTCAGTACTGTATATCTATAGAGGGGGAGGGGTCAGTACTGTATATCTATAGAGGGGGGAGGGGTCAGTACTGTATATCTATAGAGGGGGGAGGAGTGGGGTCAGTACTGTATATCTATAGAGGGGGGAGGGGTCAGTACTGTATATCTATAGAGGGGGGGAGGGGTCAGTACTGTATATCTATAGAGGGGGGAGGGGTCAGTACTGTATATCTATAGAGGGGGAGGGGTCAGTACTGTATATCTATAGAGGGGGGAGGGGTCAGTACTGTATATCTATAGAGGGGGGAGGGGTCAGTACTGTACATCTATAGAGGGGGGAGGGGTCAGTACTGTATATCTATAGAGGGGGGAGGGGTCAGTACTGTATATCTATAGAGGGGGGGGGAGGGGTCAGTACTGTATATCTATAGAGGGGGGGAGGAGGGGTCAGTACTGTATATCTATAGAGGGGGGGGAGGGGTCAGTACTGTATATCTATAGAGGGGGGAGGGGTCAGTACTGTATATCTATAGAGGGGGGAGGGGTCAGTACTGTATATCTATAGAGGGGGGAGGGGTCAGTACTGTATATCTATAGAGGGGGGAGGGGTCAGTACTGTATATCTATAGAGGGGGGAGGGGTCAGTACTGTATATCTATAGAGGGGGGAGGGGTCAGTACTGTATATCTATAGAGGGGGGAGGGGTCAGTACTGTATATCTATAGAGGGGGGAGGGGTCAGTACTGTATATCTATAGAGGGGGGAGGGGTCAGTACTGTATATCTATAGAGGGGGGAGGGGTCAGTACTGTATATCTATAGAGGGGGGAGGGGTCAGTACTGTATATCTATAGAGGGGGGAGGGGTCAGTACTGTACATCTATAGAGGGGGGGAGGGGTCAGTACTGTATATCTATAGAGGGGGGAGGGGTCAGTACTGTATATATCTATAGAGGGGGGAGGGGTCAGTACTGTATATCTATAGAGGGGGGAGGGGTCAGTACTGTATATCTATAGAGGGGGGAGGGGTCAGTACTGTATATCTATAGAGGGGGAGGGGTCAGTACTGTATATCTATAGAGGGGGGAGGGGTCAGTACTGTATATCTATAGAGGGGGGAGGGGTCAGTACTGTATAATCTATAGAGGGGGGAGGGGTCAGTACTGTATATCTATAGAGGGGGGAGGGGTCAGTACTGTATATCTATAGAGGGGGGAGGGGTCAGTACTGTATATCTATAGAGGGGGGGGGGTCAGTACTGTATATCTATAGAGGGGGAGGGGTCAGTACTGTATATCTATAGAGGGGGGAGGGGTCAGTACTGTATATCTATAGAGGGGGGAGGGGTCAGTACTGTATATCTATAGAGGGGGGAGGGGTCAGTACTGTATATCTATAGAGGGGGGGGGGTCCAGTACTGTATATCTATAGAGGGGGGAGGGGTCAGTACTGTATATCTATAGAGGGGGGAGGGGTCAGTACTGTACATCTATAGTTTATCTGTATAACTGTACAGTATGGGGGGTGTATTTGGGGGGCGAACAGGACAGCGAGGGGGGGGGTGCGCGTCGGGGGGCAGGACAGGAGGGTGCAGTGGGTAGTACAAGGAAGTGCAGTGGCTAATAAGTTTGCAGGCTGTCCTGGATCACTGAGGAGGGAGTGCAGTGCGTAGCAGAGTTGCAGGCTTTCCTGGCTCAGTGGGTAGGACAGGCAGTGCAGTGAGTAATAAGGTTGCAGGGTGTCCTGGCTCAGTGAGCAAGAGCAGTGGGTAAGTGCAGTGGGTAGCAGAGTTGCTCGGTGTGGTGGCTCTGTGGGTAGTAGGGAAGTGCAGTGGGTAGAACAGTTGCTCGGTATCCTGGCTCAGTGGGTAGTAGGGGATTACAGTAGGTAGCAGAGTTGGTCAGTGTCCTGGCTCAGTGGGTAATACAGGAAGTGCAGTGGGTGGAACAGTTGCTCTGTATCCTGGCTCAGTGGGTAGTAGGTGTACGTGCAGTGGGTAGCAGAGTTGCTCGGTGTCCTGGCTCAGTGGGTAGTACACAGGAAGTGCAGCGAGTAGTAAAGTTGCGGGGGGTGGGGGGGGTGTAGTAGTACAGGACGCAGTGCAGTGGGTAGGAGAGTTGCTTGATGTCTTGGCTCAGTGGGTAGTACAGAAAGTGCAGTGGGTAGCAGACTTACTCTGTGTCTTGGCTCAGTGAGTAGTAGGGGAAGTGCAGTGAGTAGTAAAGTTGCAGTGTGGGGGGGGGTGTAGTGGTACAGGAAAGAGTGCAGTGGGGTAGCAGAGTTGCTCGGTGTCCTGGCTCAGTGGGTAGTACAGGAAGTGCAGTGGGTAGCAGAGTTGCCCTGGCTCAGTGGGTAGTACAGGAAGTGAGGTGAGTAGTAAAGTTGCAGCGTGGGGGGGGGGGGGGGGGTGTGTAGTATGTGGTAGTGGTACAGGAAAGAGTGCAGTGGGTAGCAGAGTTTGCTCGGTATCCTGGCTCAGTGGGTAGTACAGGAAGTGCAGTGGGTGGAACAGTTGCTCGGTATCCTGGCTCAGTGAGTAGTAGGGGAAGTGCAGTGAGTAGAAAAGTTGCAGTGTGGGGGGGTGTAGTGGTACAGGAAGGAGTGCAGTGGGTAGCAGAGTTGCTCGTGTGTCCTGGCTCAGTGGGTAGTGTAGAGGAAGTGCAGTGAGTAGTAAAGTTGCAGTGTGGGGGGTGTAGTGGGTACAGAAAGGAGTGCAGTGGGTAGCAGAGTTGCTCTGTACCCTGGCTCAGTGGGTAGTAGGGGATTACAGTAGGTAGCAGAGTTGGTCAGTGTCCTGGCTCAGTGGGTAATACAGGAAGTGCAGTGAGTAGTAAAGTTGCAGTGGGGGGAGGGGGGGGTAGTGGTACAGAAAAGAGTGCAGTGGGTAGCAGAGTTGCTCGGTGTCCTGGCTCAGTGGGTAGTACAGGAAATGCAGTGGGTAGCAAAGTTTCTCGGTGCCCTGGCTCAGTGGGGTAGTACAGGAAGTGCAGTGGGCAATAGAGTTGCAGTGTGTGGGGGGGGTAGTGGTACAGGAAGGAGTGCAGTGAGTAGCAGAGTTGCTCGGTGTCCTGGCTCAGTGGGTAGTAAAGGAAGTGCAGTGGGTAGCGGAGAGTTGCAGCGTGGGGGGGTGTAGTGGTACAGAAAGAAGTGCAGTGGGTAGCAGAGTTGCTTGGTATCCTGGCTCAGTGGGTAGTAGGGGATTACAGTAGGTAGCAGAGTTGGTCAGTGTCCTGGCTCAGTGGGTAATACAGGAAGTGCAGTGGGTGGAACAGTTGCTCGTATCCTGGCTCAGTGAGTAGTAGGGGAAGTGCAGTGAGAAGAAAAGTTGCAGTGGGTGGGGGGGGGTGTAGTAGTACAGGAAGTGCAGTGGGTAGGAGAGTTGCTCGATGTCTTGGCTCAGTGGGTAGTACAGGAAGTGCAGTGGGTAGTAAAGTTGCAGTGTGGGGGGGTGTAGTGTACAGGAAAGAGTGCAGTGGGTAGCAGAGTTGCATTCTCTCGGTGTCCTGGCTCAGTGGGTAGTACAGGAAATGCAGTGGGTAGCAAAGTTTCTCAGTGCCCTGGCTCAGTGGTTAGTACAGGAAGTGCAGTGGGCAGTAGAGTTGCAGTGGGGGGGGGGGGGGGGGGGGGCGGGGGGGGGGGGGGGGGGGGGGGGGGGGAGAGGGGGTGGGGGGGGGGGGGGGGGGGGGGGAGGGGGGGGGGGGGGGGGGGGGGTGGGGGGGGGAGGGGGGGGGGGGGGGGGGTAGTGGTACAGGAAGGAGTGCAGTGGGTAGCAGAGTTGCTTGGCGTCCTGGCTCAGTGGGTAGTACAGGAAGTACAGTGGGTAGCGGATTTGCCCTGGCTCAGTAGGTAGTACAGGAAGTGCAGTGAGTAGTAAAGTTGCAGCGTGGGGGGTGTAGTGGTACAGAAAGAAGTGCAGTGGGTAGCAAAGTTGCTCGGTATCCTGGCTCAGTGGGTAGTAGGGGATTACAGTAGGTAGCAGAGTTGGTCAGTGTCCTGGCTCAGTGGGTAATACAGGAAGTGCAGTGGGTGGAACAGTTGCTCGGTATCCTGGCTCAGTGGGTAGTACAGGAAGTGCAGTGGGTAGGAGAGTTGCTTGATGTCTTGGCTCAGTGGGTAATACAGAAAGTGCAGTAGGTGGAACAGTTGCTCGGTATCCTGGCTCAGTGAGTAGTAGGGGAAGTGCAGTGAGTAGTAAAGTTGCAGTGTGGGGGGGGTGTAGTGGTACAGGAAAAAGTGCAGTGGGTAGCAAAATTGATCGGTGTCCTGGCTCAGTGGGTAGTACAGGAAGTGCAGTGGGTAGCGGAGTTGCCCTGGCTCAGTGGGTAATACAGGAAGTGCAGTGGGTAACAGAGTTGCTCTGTATTCTGGCTCAGTGAGTAGTAGGGGAAGTGCAGTGAGAAGAAAAGTTTGCAGTGTGGGGGGGTGTAGTGGTACAGGAAAAAGTGCAGTGGGTAGCAGAATTGCTCGGTGCCCTGGCTCAGTGGGTAGTACGGGATTACAGTAAGAGGTAGCAGAGTTGGTCAGTGTCCTGGCTCAGTGGGTAATACAGGAAGTGCAGTGAGTAGTAAAGTTGCAGGTGTGGGGGCGTGTAGTGGTACAGAAAGGAGTGCAGTGGGTAGCAGAGTTGCTCGGTTGTCCTGGCTCAGTGGGTAGTACAGGAAGTGCAGTGGGTAATAAAGTTGCAGTGTGGGGGCGTGTAGTGATACAGGAAGAAGTGCAGTGGGTAGCAGAGTTGCTTGGTGTCCTGGCTCAGTGGGTAGTACAGGAAGTGCAGTGGGTTAGCGGAGTTGCCCTGGCTCAGTGGGTAATACAGGAAGTGCAGTGGGTAACAGAGTTGCTCTGTATTTCTGGCTCAGTGAGTAGTAGGGGAAGTGCAGTGAGAAGAAAAGTTGCAGTGTGGGGGGGTGTAGTGGTACAGGAAAAAGTTTTGCAGTGGTAGCAGAATTGCTCGGTGTCCTGGGCTCATGTGGGTAGTACAGGAAGTGCAGTGGGTTAGTAAAGTTGCAGTGTGGGGGCGTGTAGTGATACAGGAAGAAGTGCAGTAGGTAGCAGAGTTGCTTGGTGTCCTGGCTCAGTGGGTTAGTACAGGAAGTGCAGTGGGTAGCGGAGTTTGCCCTGGCTCAGTGGGTAATACAGGAAGTGCAGTGGGTAACAGAGTTGCTCTGTATTCTGGCTCAGTGAGTAGTAGGGGAAGTGCAGTGAGAAGAAAAGTTGCAGTGTGGGGGGGTGTAGTAGTACAGAAAGGAGTGCAGTGGGTAGCAGAGTTGCTCGGTGTGTCCTGGCTCAGTGGGTAGTACAGGAAGTGCAGTGGACAGCAGAGTTGCTCGGTAGGCCGGTCGGAGAAGGTTTGTACCCCCGCCCCCCACGAGGACTCACCTTCTCCTTCTTGTTCTTATTCGGCATTGGCGGAGTCGGTCCCCGGCGGGTGTACCGGTGTCTCTGTCGGTATTCGGTGACACTCTCCCCTCCCCCGCCCGCCTCTCTCTCCTCACACTTCCCAGGCTGCTGCCGCAGCGCCTCACACCTCCGGCCCCGCCCGCTGCCATTGGACGCAAGGGGACACGTGAGAGCAAACGTCCGCGCGTCATCGCCCCCCTCCCCGGGCTCCGGCCACGCCTGTCAGCTCTCCGCCAACGCCCAGCGGCTCTGCGCCACACCTCCCTCGCGAGACCCGAGGTGGCGTGCAAAGCAAGGGGGGGGGGGGTGGGG